CGCCTTAACCACCTGGCCATGCTGGGCCAGGATACAGGGACGACGATTAACTCCCACTATTCAGCCAGCCAATAACGAGCTGCCTTTCCTCTACTTTGTCAGCAGACCCGGCATGGCCAGGTGGTTAGGGCACTCGACTCGTAATCTGCAGGTCGCGGGTTCGAATCCCCGTCAGACCAAAACACGCAAGTCTTACTCCCGGATACTCACCTCTAAAAGAATCTGGAGATGTGAAAAACACCATACGAAACTACTACTACTACTTTGTCAGTTGGAAATTATGCACGGTTGTACGCAGATAGCCCTTGTATAGCCTGACATGAGAATTCTAAATAAACGAAAAATACTGAATTATGTAATGTAGAAATTCTTAACTTTCTATAAGAGAAATTAACCATGAACGTTCCAGATAGTTTCTTAATATATCACAATGAGTGTCAAATATATATTTATACAGATAAATTAACAACTACTTGTGCCTAAAACCTGTTGCTTTTTTTTTCACTAAATGTGATGATGTGGACAATTTCAATTTAAGACTTTTGAAAAATGTTTCTACACATACACACACACACACATACAGACAACCCAATTTTTCACGTCGCCCTCAATCAGCATGCTTAATTAGAAGATAACGTTTATTCGTTTTTTCTTTAATTAGTAGTCATTTTCAGCTTAAACAGCTCTATTTTTCTAACAGAATAGTTGCCCTGAGGAATGGATTGCCTTCGGATGTGGTTAAGGGAGTTTCAGGGAAAGCTTGATAAGTATTTTTAGGTTTAGAGTTTAGTTTAATTTAGTGGATAAGACAGCCCAGATGCACGAAAATGTCCCTTGTTGTCTTTTAATGTCATGTTATGTTAAAATATATAACACAAGAAAGATGGTTTCGATATCAGCTTTAGCTGTGTTTAGTCGCAAGGGCTACTTTTCATTCGCTGAGGTACTATAGCGGTTTTATAATAAGTCAGCGTGTAAGTCCTTTAATTCTAGGTCAGTACAAGGGCGTCGTAATGTACGAGATATGATTTAGTTTTGTATATTTGTACATTGTACATTAACTATTCATGAATCTTTGGAGTGGAAGAACAAGTATACTGATGAAATTGAAATGATGTCATGATGGATTGCTTCTGGATACAGAGGCTTTAAATTTTAGTGAAAAGGAACGAACGAGTACACCAGTGCACATTTAATTTACGGAAATACAAAGTTTTTTGTTATATCCGTTTGTTCCCGGTCCGTTTTGGAATTACGAAAAAGGGCTTTAATAATATTGCAAATAAATGTTATCTAAGTATTCAGAAACAAGCACGGGTAATATTAATGTAAGAATCTTGAGTACAGTGGCACCGTACTTTAATATATCATCAATAAATTAAACTATTCAGAACTAGTACGAATGTTTTGCGAAAAGCAGCCTATTATGCTATTACTAGGTCATCCATGCGAGATTAAAACGTAAATTGAATTTTAGTGTATCTAAAATTTCAATATGCAATTATTCCCAAAAATATGAAATTAAGCTACACTCCTGCATTTTTGCATTCGTAACTTTTATATTGAATTGTCACCAAAATTTATAAACAAATTAAAGTCATCCCTATGGAAATAAGATCTAATTTCTGGTTAAACCTTTACGTGTATTGCTGTAAAGTTAAGCTCTGTTCGAATTTTAATTTCTTACCATTCGTAGCACATTCTGCCAGTCAACAATCCGATATTAATTTTAGATTTTAATGCAATTGATCCTACTTGCTTGGAGGTTGGAGAGATCGCAATATATTATTTTCCAAACCTTGTAACAATTTGACGCAAAATTCATACTGTGGGTGAAATTTTTTAAATAAAAGTTTATGATAAAAGACGTTGATATAATTTCCAAATATTAGTAATTTCTTCCTTTCTTTCTCTTCAATGATCAATAAAGATCTGGAGAAGTATTTTAATGTTACAATTCCTCATATTTCTATTTGTTTGTATATTTACTAACCTTTTTTTGTCACTTGTAAGTTGTACTGCAGAAAGTTGTTTATAAAATGTTTTTCGAAAAATATTTAAACAAAAAACGTGAGTTATTTTAGTTCGCTAAAACAGGAACAAATATTTTAAAGATTTGATTAACCATTATTTTTGTGTGAAATCTAATTCTCCTATGAAATAACTTCCTCAAGGATGGGTTTATAACATATTCAATGACTGTTTTATATGTTGTCGTATTAGTAAAAATACACTTAAGCCTTCGGGAAGCTTTGATTGACCAATGAATGAAAGTATGTTTTTTATGTCGATAATCTTTATTTTGTTTATTCAACTTTATATGTCATAAATTTTAAAAATTATGTTTTTTCTTACATAATAAAGACACACATACGCACAAGCTGATGTGCTATCTGAATCTATAGTTCCAACTTTCCTTCTGTAACAAATAATGCCACCCTTCATCGCGTCAAAATTATTGCACAAAAGGTAAAGAAGAGATGAAATCTCCTGTGTCCTCTCAATATTATTGTAATACATTTTGCATTAAAATTATTTAAAATCTAACTCTCTGTCAACGTTCTTGATACATAAATTTAATATCCAACAAACTAAACGTCAAATGACATATAAGCATAACTTGTTTATGAACAAAACCACAAAAATACCATTTTATTATACGCTTTTTTTTTGTAATATTCTTTTCATATCTCAGTATGAGGATTTGAAATTCTCTAGGCTCCAGAAAGTCATAAATTGATTGTAAATGTAGCATAAAAATCAGACGTTTTATTTCAGTTACTATTGTTTATAACATCTTGATAAATCAGTGGCAAAGTTTTGATTAATAATAGGTGTACATTCATATCGTACAAATGAGGGAAACTAAATAAGCATATATTTTTAAGTTATCACCTTTCGAAGTAGCAAATACTTTGGTAATGTCACAATTATTAGATAACACGTTGGTAAGAAAAATATAAAAATAAGGGGTTTGATTGTATGTATTACTGCTATTACCTCAAAGTTTACTATTTCGTATATAGATATGGTTCTAAAGAAACGTTGACATTATCAATACAATAACCTTATCAAAGCGCTTCATCGACATCAGAAAAGATACCGAAGCACGGTTTAAAATTCGAATCTTATGAAAGATAATTACAATCATAATGTTGTACTATATTCAAATCTCTCTTACAGGTTATCTTGAAATATTGTAGTTAACTTGTGCTGTCTTTATGACGTCACTATCAAATAGCAGCAATTGCTACTGTTTGGTGTAAGCTGTTATAAGTTCTGAAAACGACAGGGTTTTACGTAATATTAAAACGATTTTGAATATGTAAATCAACGAGTCACATGATAACCACAACCGATATAAAGTAGCAATTGAACGGAATATATCAAAACTACATTTTGACATTGGTTGGCGTTTGTAGGTAGTGTATGACACCGAAAACTGATCGCTTTCGCGAAAGGTATGCAACAGCCCTTTCCGGAGCAAAATATTCATACACTCATATTAGAAGGAGAGTTCAGATCTGGGACTTAGAATTTCTAAGATGAGGCTATGCCTTGTATATAATGGCTTTGAAAAACAAAGGAATATGAATCAACATGGGGTAGAAGACCATCCAGAAGGAGACATGCAACAAGTCTTATCCCAACCGTGGTAAGCAAAGTGCGGCATCTTGTAACAAGTGAAAATACACAAAAGTCATTAGCAAAAGCCACCAATGTACCCCAGGCAACAGCATGCAATATAATCAAGAATAATCTTTATCTGGAAAACTGACGCAAGTCATATGTACACAAGCTGTTTCCAAAACATATCATTTCAATCTTGGCATACCTCAAGCAGCTACAAAATGAAACCGGATATTCATATTAATCCATGCAAAGACATACTGTTCAAATCACCAGAAGCAGTGGTTTTAGCTTTCTATTTTGCACTGGAAATTACCTTGCAAAGTTATTGTCAAAATGCACGATCATAAGATAGAGCACGCCTAGGCGTGGCGACATGAACTGTAGTTACTTGGTGAAGTTAGAAAATTGCTTTTATAAAACGTACTCAACAGTCTGTAGAAGCTGAATTTATAGATGGCACACACTCTACGCCGTATCCTAATACAAGTTACGAAGGATTATACGCAGTAATTGCAACAAATTGGGATTTCCGTTTCCTGTATTCATTCGTGTAGTGAATCCTTACAAGTCCTAATCTGGAAAACTATCTAGTAACAAATTACGCTGGAGAACTTGTGGGACAAACAAATTCTAATGCACTTTGACATCCTGCCAGAGTTTATTCCCTTTTACAAGTTCAAAAATAGCATAACTCTTTGGTGTTCAAACATGAAATCGCTTTTCAATAACATCTGTCCGTTTTTATTTTGTTTTTTAGTTTTTCGCAAAAATGTAGGTGTTGATTAAAGCGTATGACTATTGACATTGTTTTAATTAGGTTGCATCTATTGATTTCAGAGTATAACTGATCATTGATTTCATTAGTTTTAATCTTGAGGTATGTTGTCAAAGTTTGAAGTGTTTAAAGAAATATATACGTATATTATACACAAAGACTCATAGTGTTTTTCATTTGTAGCAGCACAGTTAGAAGTTAATCAAGTGTTTAAAGAAATATATACGTAATATTATACACAAAGACTCATAGTGTTTTTCACTTGTAGCAGCACAGTTAGAAGTTAATCAAGTGTTTAAAGAAATATATACGTTATTATACACAAAGACTCAGTGTTTTTCACTTGTAGCAGCACAGTTAGAAGTTAATCAAGTGTTTAAAGAAATATATACGTATATAATACACAAAGACTCATAGTGTTTTTCACTTGTAGCAGCACAGTTAGAAGTTAATCAAGTGGGAATGTTTTAAATCTCTCTCTATTTTAATCTCTCTCTTTGAAGAGATTCTTGCTTGAAGACTAAATCAATTATAGACAAAAATAACTGTTAAAAGTTGTTTTTTTCTGGCGCTTAAAATTGTCAGGTGATCATTAGGAGGTTTGATCGAAAGTATAAAAAGTTCATAGCTTTATTGAGAACTTCTGACCACATAGATTAGAGCTACATTAATTTTAAAATAACACGTATTTTCATGATGACAATAAATTTAACAAAACAAACTTAATGCTATAAATGAATGGAATGGAACAATATATGAAAACCGATAACTTTAGTGAAAAAATATATTCAAACATAATCTGAATAATATCTTGAGATGTTCAACGCATTGTAGAAAATTTAGGTTATTCCTAAATTCAACCCTAATCCAATGATGTTAAGTAATCTTCGAAACTGTAATTATAATTTAAAATGATAATAATTATATATTACAATCAAAATAATTTATGGCACTAACCACATAGAAAAGTGGAACATATTGTTACTACTGCTTTTGGAATATGCAACTTGCATTAGGCATGTTCAGCACATTTCACGTCAATTTCTCTTGTACCATCATCAAACCAACTCGTTAATTTGTGTATCATCCGCTCTTGATTTTCTCTTATATCATCATCATGCAAACTCGTTAATTTATGTGTCACCCGATTTTAATTTTCACTTATATCATTATCATTCTAACTCGTTAACTTATGTATCACCCACTTTTAATTTTCACTTATATCATTATCATTCTAACTCGTTAACTTATGTATCACCCACTTTTAATTTTCACTTATATCATTATCATTCTAACTCGTTAATTTATGTATCACTCGCTTTTAATTTTCACTTATATCATTATCATTCTAACTCGTTAATTTATTTATCACCCGCTTTTAATTTTCATTTATATCATTATCATTCTAACTCGTTAATTTATTTATCACCCACTTTTAGAATATCGTCATCAAGCCAACTCATTAATTTGTATATCACCCACTCTTTAAATAAGTGAAAGGGTTAGGTTCAGAGAAGCTGCATTTATGTTCTAAGAGAAGGTAGCGCATTTGCTCCTGAATTTGTGATAAATATTTTGTTAATTTATGTTTGCCTAACTCTTTCATATTTCAAAACTGTCAATAATATTGCTTTGGTCATAATATTACATTCTAATTAAGCTAATATATATATATATATATCTTTCTTCATTAATTTTGATTTTCTTAACATTTTTATTTTGGGTTTTAAATAAAATTTGGTTGTAATTAAGCACAAAGCTACACAATGAGCTATTTGTGCTGTGCCTACCACGGGTATTGAAACCTGTTTTTAGCGTTATAAGCCTACAGAATTACCGCTGTGTTACTTGGGGGGGGGGTAATAAAGAGAAATATGATTATGTGATTCATTTTCCATATTAGATTTTGAATACATCCAAATATTGCTCACTGAGCTTATTCTCGTATTAAACACATCAAAATTTTGTCTACTACATTTCGCACTTTAGAAAAAACAACTGTAAAATAAATTTGTTTTCTTTACTTAAAATTTAATGGAATATGATAGTTATTAAGCTAAAAATATCCGTAGCTAATATTTTTCTCTTGTTTCTTCTTGAAGGTGCTTAGTAAACTTTTTAGCAAACGCAGCTCGTCTTGTCTGACTTCGCTGTTGGCACTTTAAAGGTAATAATTGAGGTAAGTAAATAATAGAAAGATTTTCTTTTTCCGATAACATGACCATGAAGCTATTCAGATACTTATAATTTATTTTCGCAAACAAACAACTACATTGAAACCTTAACAGTTTAATGTAAATTATCTTATTAGGCATTAAATAATTTTTGGACGTATAAATCCAATGTCGAATGTGTGAAAAATACGATAAAGGCACTATATTACTCAACCTACTGCTATATATATATATAAATTATGTTTCCATTAACACTGTATCTTCAACCATTTCTGCTACTTGACGTCAGCGTGTTTCATGACAGTGGTTCATCCTAGTGGTTCGTCGCTGTATGATAACACTCTGAACAATTGTATTCAGTTCATTTGAGAAACAATAACATATAAAATTTACTTTTTATAACAGAGGAAATAACATGTGCTTTGCAGAATTAATTTATATAATATGTATGCGCGTAATGACTCTATTAACTCGAAAAATATGCAGCTATTCAATGTCCATTATATATGGTAGTTTGGCCTAACACAATAAAATGACTACAATAGTATTTTCGTTCGTAGAAAAAAATAATAATATGCTGCTTAAAATAACCTCTAATTATATTCACAAATTAGTGTATTCTAATTCGGTGTTGGTTTCAGACTGTATATGCGTTAATAAAAACGACATTGCCGAAGAAGCAGTCTAATTGTAATACTAATCCAGATGTATTCCACCGAAAGTTTGTTGTCTTTCGAACGGCCATTATTTGTTCCTGTATTTGTTAGTGGCGCGTTAAAGCGGATAGTCTTCGCCTACACAGGTTATGGGCGAGTCTACTTATGCGTTTATGTTATTTCCTAATGGACATGTGTCGTGTATAAAATAATGAAACATGTACAATTTGTAAGCACACAACCATCGCCTAACGACCTTGAAACCTGCAGGGATTGAAGGAAACCTATCATTGTGATGATAAGTCAACACGCCTGTAAGCCAATGGAGAGGGCACGTGAGCGGCAGTGACTCGCTATCTTTCTGATTACGTCACCTCATCTCGAAAATCTTTAAGTAATATCTTCACGACAAGTAAATCACACAGGTTACAGCACCGTGGCTGCTTCTGCCACTTTTTATTTGGAGATAAAAGCAACGCTAACAAGGCCCATTCGTGAGATTTCACAGCCATGATTTTCAACTCGTAAACAAGTATCATTCTTCTTCTTTATTAATTTCAACATAAATAAAATTATTCATGATTATCCTACGATGACGTTTAACCCTCATCGTGTTATGAAGATATTAGAATCTAACAACAGTGGGATTGCTGAGCTACTCAGACTAAGTTTTAAATTCAACGAGTAATTATGAACATTCGTTTAATATGTATATTAACTTTTTCCCATTTAATTATAAAGCTTTTTTTGTGTGCTCTGTATAGAAAGTGTTTCAAGAGTAATTACACTTATTCTGGTTCTTTTTTTTTCCTGTGCTGTATGTTTCTTATGTTCTTAGACACTACATTGTTGGATATTTGTGTTACTCTTGACCAAACGTTATTTCTTTTTTACTTTTCACACAAGTCTAGTCATCCTTATTTTCGGAATGATAAACTAAAGGGAAGGCAGCTGGTCAACAGAACCTAGCGCCAACACGTGGGTTACTCTACTCGAAAAAAAAAAAAGAGTTTGACTGTCACTCTTATAACGCACCCAAGGACTCAAATCGCGGAACGCATTTTCGTGGCAACGGCACGCACACCCTTAAACCTTGGATCCACAGTCCGGCACGCTAATAACTAGGCCATGATACACTCAGTCTTACAAGCCTGTTATTAACTGAAGGCCTAGTAGTTCTCCTACGTATAAGGTTATTAATTCTATTGCTTATAGATCTAAAACTTTTAATCCTTCGCCATTTTTGCAACGCCTAATACCATATCATCAAATTTACAACTTAGTTAACTGTCTAGCTTGTAATGCTCTATATTGCTGTTATTGTATATCAGTTGTTGTTCAAAAAAATGTAACTCGATTTCTGATGATAAATGAGCTCGGAAGTTTGCGATTATAAATATCTAATGTAGAGATATTTCACGCGTTTATAACACAGAATCTCACTTCATCAGAAGCAAAGTAATGTTTTTTTGAGTGACAGGACAAAGAATAGGAAATATCGGTAATCGTTTCTTGGAGGTATTGCATATACTGTTGGAAGTTTCGGAACTTGCTGTATCCAAACATGTAATCCATATGTCGGGAGTATAATAACAAGGTTTCAGAGTAGCTGCACAACCTTACCAGCAACGGTCGCACAAACTAATTTATTACTTCTTTTTTTAATTCTCAAACCGAATTATGCGACTTTTCCTCATTCTGTGTTTGAAGTTGGAGACCTTGTTCTTGATTATCTGATCTGGTAGAATGCTGCTACTGTTGAGGGCAGTTCCCCATCATGAAAAATATAGCCTACTATTACTATCATTAATGTTCTTCTTAGCACCAAACCTATTTTTGAGTACCACCAACTATAGTATGGTTAGAGGTAATATTTATGTTTATTAGGGTTTATATTTTATTTGAAACGACTGAATATTAAATTACTGGTTTGTTAGATAATAATGTTGAACACGAAAGTGTCAGAGTTAGTTTAATGACGAAATACACAAAAGAAACGGTGATTAATTTACTAGTGGGTTTGTTCATTGTACAGCTTGAGTACCAGCATAGCATCTTCGGGCTTCATAGATAGATTTGTCTCAACAAGGACTGTCAAAAAGTCCATGATGATCACATTCACAGTGGCTGCACAGGATGAAAGTCGAACATTTCGGAGTCTTGCACATGATGACGACATGCGGTAGAGTAGCATAGTTCCAGTCACGGTCAGCAGGATTTGGAGCAATCTGAGGAAAACCTACTGAAGTCTGGTCTAAAAAACAGATGCAACGACGGGCGAAGAAGAAGAAGACTCACATTGTGAGTCACATAGTGGACCCATAGGTTACACAACAAGAAGTACTGTTATTAACTATGGGTTTTCTGCTGATGATGTGGCCACTCATAACTCGGTCAGTTTTTGTCCGATTTGAAAACTGTTGAGTGTAATTTTTCCATCTTACCCAATGCAAAATTGATCAAATCCCAGATTCTTTACATCCGATCTCTGCCACCGAGACGCCTCTGGTTGAGGGAAAGATCCTTTGTAAAAGCATTCATTTTAGTTTTTCTCCAAGAAAAAACCCTTAAATCCGTCTACCTGTTTTGTTAATTTACTTTAACAGCTCCAGTTTTTTTTTGGTAACATTAACCAAAATACTAATGTATTATCACCAAATATGCTCGTTCTTTCAGCCGTGGGGGCGTTATAATGTTAAAGCTAATCCCACTAGTTGATTAAAATAACCCAAGAGTTGAGGTGAGTAGTGTTGACTAGCTGCCTTCCATCTAGTCTATCAATTCTAAATAAGGGAAGGTCAGCACAGGTAGCCCTAGAATAGCTTTGCGCAAAATACAACGAATAAACAAGCAAAAGCTATCGCGTTCTTTCATCCGGAGTATCAAAAATTAAAACAGGAGTAACTAATTAAAAATATTATTTGTTTTGTCGCAGATTGAAAAATAGGCCGAATTAGATGGGAAATAATTTTGTTATATGCTGCTAAAATAACTTTTTTTAAAATTTGGTATTAACACTAACCCAAATATATTACACTCGTCAGAATTCTAGCATGTAGTCCTGCTAACTTCTAAATACCGAATTTTAGCTGCTTCAATAAACAAGCTTAAATAGAGAGATATCATTCCCTATATTTATTATAGTATAGTTAGAGGTAATTTTTATGCTTATTGCGGTTTTTATTTTATTTGAAACGACTGAATATTAAATTACTGGTTTGTTAGATAATAATTTTGAACACGAGAGTGTCAAAGTTAGTTTAATGACGAAATACACAAAAGAAGCGATGATTAATTTACTAGTGGGTTTGTTCATTGTACAGGTTGATAAAATTACATGTTAGATTTTGTTTTTGGCGGGTTAAGATTGTAAATGAAGGTATATGGCTACAACATATTATGCTCTCGTAGACGCTAAGATAAGAGAATAGCCCCAAGTTATTTTGAAAGGCCATCAAAACATGAAGTACAGATAAAGGATTATACCACCTTAAAACTGCCTAAGATAAATTTAGATAATTTTTCAAATCATCCCATGTGATTAAAGGACGATTATTCATCACTCAAATCGAAATGTTTATAACCTTATGTCCTTACTCAGAAAAGATGGCTTATTTGACATTATGATGCACCCTTTCAAACCACGAGTACTCATAACAGGTCAGGTGCCTCGAGAGAAATCAGTGCCCTCTCGTGACCAATTTTGATATAGTCGAGCAAGAAACTTAAGTTTATTGTACTCAAGTGTCGCCATTAAATACAATTATTAAAAACAGGAGTGTTTGAAACAGCAAAATAAAATATAACCAAGTATGAGGAAACAAATGAACAAAGGTTTAAATTTAATTTGAAGGCCAGAGCAAGTGAATTTTGAAATATTAGTATAGAAATCCAAATAATAATGTTTGTTTTTGTTTTAAAATCTATGGGACTCTAATCGAATGTTTCTTGTTCTTCCTTAGCAAATTAACATATTAAAATATTAGAGGCGGGGATATTGAGCTGCAAGTTATTTCTTGTTGTCATACATAAGTTCTGTTCAAATAAAATTATTTAGTTCGGATTGACGGACTACTTTTAAGGCTTTAAAATATGTTAAATATAAATTCCTATTACAGAAATAACGAAATAATGACAGAAAACAATAACTTCTCTTAAACAGTTGATACATAACTTAATGCAAATTAAGTAAGCAATAAGAAGGCACAATTATAAAAGTTCTTAATCTGAGGGTCGCGGTTTCGAATCCTCGTCCCACCAAACATGCTCGCCCTTTCAACTGTGGGGGCGTCATAATGTGACGGTCAATCCCAATATTCGTTGGTAAAAAAAGTAGCCCAAAAGTTCTC